GATAGCTGGCGACAGTACACATCTGAATTGATGGTTTCATTCCGTCCCAGCAGCTCAAAGTGCACTACACCCTTCCAATTCCACCAAACAGACAGCATAACTTTCCTCTGATGGATATCGGCCTTTGATGTGGCTTGGGCTGGCTCATCTTTCTTGCTCCATGATCTTTTTCGTTGGACATTATTGTAAACAACCCACTTTTCGTCGCCAGTAATGATCCGCTTCAAAAAAGGATCGTTTTTAATCCGTTGCAGCAGAGAATAGCAGATGTTGATACGCTTAGTTAGGTGAATTTCCTTTAAGTTATGCGGAACCCAAACATCGAGCTTGCTTACGTAGCCAAGTTTCTTCAAATGGTTTTCAACCGTTGTATGCGACACACTGAGCTTCTCTGACATCTCCCGCGTTGAATAGCGCCGGTTTTCATCCAGCAAAGCCTGAATTTGTTCGTCAAAAACGGCCGATGGTCGACCAGAACGTGGGGCGTCTTTAACTCCAAAATCTCCAAGCCTGAATTTGGCAAACCAGCGCTGACATTGGCGATCACTCATGGCATCTTTACCATACACTTCGCACAATTTTTCGCGAGCTTCGACCGCTTTTTTTCCTTTTCGGAAGTAAAAAAGCAAAATATGCCGAAAATGCTCACTTTGGTCCTCCATGTTTAATTTGCTATAGCTTCCACAAATGTTATCGAATAATTACCAAATTTTCGTCGATAGTACCTAAGACAATAAGCTTTAAAACGATACTAAAAAGTGTGACCCTGGTGCTCGATTAGTCGTAAATAAATTAGATTAAAAACGATTACTAAAAAAAACGACATGACTTTCTTGCCCACCCAATAGTTCGTCTCCTTACTTCTGGATTAAAATTCTAAATTATTTTACGTCATGGCAACATCAGTAAAAACCGATTTAACCCGATTTATGACCACAGCTGACAGTCTGGTCCACTTTGAGGCCATTACGGACGCTCCAGGTGCTCCTTATCCGCCTGTAGAATCCGTCGCGATCACTTCAATTCCTTGTGGCAAGGACTGCATTGTGGCTGTAGGCGACACGAAATCCATACTAAAATCTCAGTATTGGATTGTTAATGGAACAAATCCAAAAAGGTCCCTCCCAGGTACCTTAAGCTCCAGTAATTCCGTCCCAAAATTCCGGGACCTTTTCACGGCAAAATACATAGACAATCCGATTCTAACGCCCGTTGAAAAACTATTCCACTTAAATTCAAAAACAAGTGGCGAACCTCATTCATAGTTTCGAGATCCCAGAGATCGCAGGGTAACAATCACCTGAAAACACTTTTCAATGTGCAATCTTTAGCAATGGGTCGGGAGCAGCCTTAAAGCAACTTTAACGCACTTTCCAAGGTTGCTTAACTTTCTTAAAATTTACCGGTGTTAATATTGAGAATTGGGACCATGTTCTTGTTTATATGTGCTCGACAAAACTACCAAAGCTCATGCTCTCTTATGGGAGTAATCCATCCAATATAAAGCCGAACTTCCTACGAGGCTTGAGCTTGATTCCAATTTGACGGAGCGCCATCGAACTCTTGAGGCCGTCGATAGCTTCCGACACGTCCAGTCCAAAGACACAAATCGAGTGGCAGAATTTCCAAAAATAAATCCCTTCAACACAAGGTTAGTTCCGATACCCAAAGGCTGCGATCTGTGTCAGAGGAAAAACCACCCCGTGCGTATATGTCCACGCTTCTTAGAAATGACGGTAGACGATCGCCTAGCCTATATCCAAAGGAAGCAGTTGTGCTCCAATTGCTTTGCAAGCAGCCATCAATTCCGGGATTGCACAAGCGCTCACAACTATCTCACTTGCCAAGATCGGCATCACACATTGCTGCATCAAAACAGCGGTCCTACTACTCCGCCGATTCCACCCGACCTCCAAGGCCAGTATCCGCCTCAGTTCCACACACCTTTTCGTCCTATTCAGCGCAAGTTTCCGTACAAAAAGTCCCTCCTAAGAATACTCCATCCGAATATTGGCTTCCATACCCGCCTTGGATGGCAGACGTACTCGAGGTATTAAATCCTACTAATGCCGAGTCTGGCAAAAGATCCATCCTCTACGGAAGTGCCACCACTTTCTACGGCTAAGCCCCCAGGAATCGGCTCCAGAAGGTACTGCTCCAATTGCTTGGCTCACAATCATTCCACTATAGGCTGGCTGACCACTTTTTGTGGCCAAAAATACATATTTCGAAAGTCGTTAATATTAAAATCTAATGACGTCATAGTGTTGGGAAAACATCAAACTTCAATGTTTCGTAACAGAAATTTTAACAGAGTCACAGTCTGTTAAAATATCGGCTGTTAAAACAACTGTTCGGTGTCACGGGCGCACGAAAGCTATACAGCGAAAAAAAGAGTCGGTTTGAAATTATAAAAAATATGGCACCAAACTAAGTTTTTGTCAAACAAGTTGTAATGGCGTCGAAAGATAGCGGCTTGTACTATATGTTTGTGGTCGTCACAAGTTGGATTTGTTTGTGTTGTCCCTGTAATAGAGTGTTTTTAATAGTCGCTTTACGTGAACAAATTAAAAATAAAAACTATCATTTAAATAGAGATATAAAGTGAGTTTCACCGTACTATTTACACTGTGTTGTCGGTTGTTCAGTTCTTGTTCATATGAATGCAATCCTAAAGTGCACTTTTGCGCACTTTCGTCTCAACTTACCTTTCTAGGGCACTACCTCAGGTAGGCCAATACAGAATTGTTTGGGATTTGGAGTTCTGGAGAGATAGAGCAGGCAACATTTGACAGATTTAGATCTTTGATAGCTGGTTCAGATGCTTATGAGTACTTTTTGAAAAAAACAAAGCAAAGCTATTTGTTATAGATTGTCCCGCAAATGGATATCTTGCAAAAGAAATTTAAATCATTTTAAAAGAACACACTGAGGTTTGCATAAATAGGCGGAGATCGAAAGGCAATTGCCTTATTTGTTGTCAAGAGAAAGGGCTCAGAGAAAAGCAGCTTCAAATTTAACAAATCCACGGCTGGATATATTAAATTATTTATAAATTCAGCTAGTGCGACTACGCGTAAGGGCGATAAAATGTAAAAAATGGGCGGTGCCACACCTTTTTTATCCATATATGTTCAATATATCAATATAAAACCAAATCCAAAAAATATACCTTTATATTAACTTTTGTTTTTAGGGTAAGTATTTTCTTATATATTTTTAAAATATTTTTAATGATATAACAAGAAATTTCTGCCAAAAAAAAGCCGTGCCACGCCTATTTTCTGTTCATTTATAAACCCAAATAAAAAACTGAACTATAATATTTGGTTTCGTTTTGAAGTTATTAATTTTGGCCACAAAAAGTGGCCAGCCTATAGTGCGTTCCAAGGACTCCTGCCGCAGTGGTCATCACTGCCACAAGTGTGGAAAGGGCCACCACTCTCCTACGTACGGATGACCGATCTTCACTTCCAACATATTCCTGAGGTTCTTGCTACGGGTGGGGGGAATCTTTACGTCAAAAGGGTGTTTAGTTTGAGGAGGCAGTGTCGACCAGCAGTTTTATCCAGATGTCTACATCTCGCGCGCTCGCACTGCCGTCCGCTCTCCCTCCCCATCTCACCTTTAAGTCTCCGCTCCGCTTTGGAGCACTTAAGTTAAGTTAACTAGTTCTTATTATAAAAAACCCCAAAGTACCGCCGTGTTTTTTGCGTACCCGTCGTTCTTGGGACTTCATCTATTTTTAGCGATCAAGCCACCCCGCCCCACAAGAGGTATAAGTATACAAACAGAAATATCGTATATAAAGCCAATTTTTGGACAAAGACGGAAAACTTGCCGTGAATGGCTGTTTCATGCAAGCCTAAAAATGTTAATTCGTTTTTATAATCTGCATCGGGAACTCTGATAGAGATCCAGGCAAACTAAAAGTCCTACAATACACTAAGTGCTTAATCAACTTTGAAGTTTACCGCTCTGGTGATCAACAGAGATTTCACTACAGATGATGGTATTTGGCTACTACATGACACAGCAAAGCATCAACGCTCCATTTTGAGTGTTTGGATAATGTCGAACACCAAGACTTCTTTGAAGTCCATGCCGACATGACCTCAAGTTGGATTAATCTTCTCTTTAACAAAAAAAGGACGTATATAAAGCCAAAAATAAGTTTTGTTTAAAAAAAATTAGTTATCATTGAATCGATTTGAGTACAAATATTGGCTTCACTGATTTGCAGATATACTTCTGTAATGCGAAATCCATTGCTCAAAAGATTTGATTTATTAGCAAAAAAAAAAGGACACTGGCGCCACTGGCCACTGGACTCAGTTTTCGGTGTCTTAAGCACTAACAATGTCAATTCCAAAAACTAAAAGATTATTTTTGTTTTGTAAACTATTATAGTTTAGTTGGAAAACTCAGTAAAATACAGGTTGATAGTTGTTACCTTTGGTGCAGATGTGATTGCCTTTCACGCCAAACTATCACATTTTCGTGGCGATCGATTAGATGGCCCTGAAATGCGATTTCCAATTTCCGTAAAATCATTTCTAGCTTCCGAATTCATTTCCCCTTATTGAGTTTGTTGCTTATGAGTACAAATCATAATGCTCTATACTCATACTGTTATTATTACTTACTCTTATGTTCCGCCCTGGTTTGATATTAATGTATACCAGCAACACTACGCGGAAATTCAGTCAATTCAAGCTATCCTTCTTTCCTAAATTTCTTGATACGAATGTTTGGCCTTAGAAAAAAGAGAATAAATCTAGTTTTCAATGAAAATGATACACTATTTGAAACAATTAAGAAATAGATTTTTTATTCATAGTTGACAAATTTATTTAGTGTTAGATACATAACTACCGGTACAGTTTGCTGTCCGGCATTTTTTTAGATATTCAATATTTGCCAATTGTAAATTTGTCCCTTTTTTATCTTTTATTGAAAATATAAAAGTATTTAAAACTATTTTTGTATACTTTTTTTAATTTTTTTTAAACATTCTTGATATTTGGAAGTTTAAGATATGCCTCTTTGTGATTTCAGCTGCTAGAGGCAAAAAAGGTTAAGAACACATGGTTTCAGAAATTGTATTTGTATCGTCACATACGAAGTTCTTTCTAGATACGGGCGTAATGTGTTTACCTATTAAATAATAGTACGGTTAGAACAATATTCGGGTTCCGGTAGGTATAGACAAGCAAAATAATATAAAAATGAAAAATATTTTAAATTGTACCTTTAAAAATGTGCGCGCCACAAATGTGGGCACCCATCTGAAGTACACTTGCGCTGAGCAAGAACATATAGAATCTACATTCTTAATCCTAACATTCTAGCTCTTGTAGTTTCCGAGATTTCATCGTTCGTAGCACGTCATTCAGCACGCCTTTAAATTCTTCGATATTTAAATGGTAGAACTGGACATGAAAGGAGTCTTCCCATTCTCTCTTATTGTGTATGTTGCAATTGGGATTAGAAACTCGCTAATCTTTACTTTTCCCTCATTTCGATTTTCAGCTCTTATTTTCTGTTTGGCCTTCCAAGTGGACTGCTCAATCCACAATAAAGCAATACTTTTTGCAAGACTTTTTTTGATGTGTTATACTTTTTAGTATTTGTTAAGATTATTTAAAGGGAGTCTAATGTTTCTCTACTTCTTCAAATGTGAATAAATTTATTGCTCCGTTTCTCGTCTATCTGTCAGCATCAACAAGACGTCTCCATACATGAGTACTTTGATAGGTTGTGTTCCAAGATAAGCTTAAACTTCATACGGAAAAGAATGTTCTTTGTTCGCTTCTCACAAATTAAATATATGTCTCGCGCAATGTGCGGCGCTTTCAAATGTCAGTATAATGCTTTGCAGTTCCTTTAGCTTGTTAATGTGCAGTCTGTGAACCTTTGAATTGATACTTTTATATTTAACGCTATCCATTAGCTTTGCAATAATATAGGACAACCATAGGATATTTGTTTTTGGGGAATATAATGACCAGTTGTTCCTATAAAAGAATATACCAATTATAATTATTATAACATGAAAGAAAGGTAACTTCGGTAAGCCGAATGCAATTAAAACTAGAAAACAGAGTAAAAGGATGTACTAGATTCGTCGGAAAGTGTGTAACAGACAGAAGGAAGCGTTTACGACCCCGTAAAGTATAAATATTCTTGATCAGGATCACTATCCGAGTCGATCTAGCCATGTCCGTCTGTCCATATGAACGCTAAGATCTCGTAAAATATAAGAGCTACAATAACGAATTAGGCATGCAGATTCCAGAAACTCCTGTGCAGCCCACAAACCGCCCAAAACTGTGGCTCCTACAGTTTTGATGCTAGAATACCAATTTTAACTGAAATGTATTGTTCTCATCAATACCTATAGATTTATCAAAAAAAAAAGTTTGCCACGCCCACTTTAACGCCCACAAACTTCAAAAAAACGTAAATATGAGCGCGGATATTTTGCAAACCATGAAAGATAGAGAATTGGGATCTCAGATTTAAATTTCGTAGCCTTGAACGCAGCGCAAGCTTGTTACGCGAATATGCCACGCCCACAAACCGCCCAAACCTGTGGCGCCCACAATTTTCATGCTAGATAAAAAGTTTTCACTGAAATGTATTGGTCTCGTCAATACCTATTGCCACGCCCACTCTAACGCCCATAACGCTTAGATCTGTCTACCGCCCACATAACCATATATTGAGATCACGGGTAGGTGGCGCATTTCAATCTCGCTTTGCTGCTTGCATATCTCCATTACTCGACTCAGAACTAATTAAAAATGTTATTTCCAAGCGTAGGAGTTTATATGTGGAAAAAAACACCAAAGAAATAATAAAAAAAAATATTCTTTTTCGATTATTCCTATGGGAGCTATAAGATATAGTTGTCCGATCCTGCTGGTTCCGACTTATATACTACCTGCAAATGAAATAAGACTTTTGGGATAGTTTCAGCCCGATAGCCTTAAAACTGAGAGAATAGTTTGCGTATAAGCGGACGGACAGACGGACATGGCTAAATCGACTCGTCTAGTGATGCTGATCAAGAATATGTATACTTTATGGGGTCGGAAACGTTTTTACTGCGTTGCAAACTTCTGCCTGGAATCATAATACCCTTTGCAAGGGTATAAAAATATTGGCGTTTTTTGTTTCCAATTTTTTAAGGTGAAATTTTAAAAACTGGGTCCAACACTAAAATTGTATACTACAGTTATATTGGATATTGAGGACTGACACGACAAAAAGTTATTACCTCACACTGAAGGCATAATTTAACATCATCTGCGTACATTGGTACACGAGAATGAGTTATAACTAAGAATAGATCATTTATAAATAAAGTAAAAAGTAGCGGCCCCAGGTGGTTCCCTTGTGGGCCATCTGAGGTAACGTGTAGTAGGCAAGAAATAGTATTTTTATAAAGTACTTTGTGTTTTTTGCAATTTAAATACCTAAAGATCCATCTTAAAAGATCAATAATAAATCGAGTTCTCTAACCAGAAGAACGTGATTTACAGAGTCAAATGTTTTAATAAAGTCAGTGTAAATGGCGTCTGTTTAAAAACATTTATTAAGTACCCTGTTCACAAATGAAGTAAGCTCTAAAAGGTTAGTAGTTGTTGATTTACGTTTTATCAACCCGCGTCCACACGGAGACATAACTGACCTACAGAGGTGCTGCAAATGGGGAGTAATAATATTTTCAAAGCTTTGAGATGGCTGATAATTTAGAGCAGTGGTCGGCAGCGGCCTATCTAGTGAGCATAGGGAAGTGTTCTGCCCATCCTCTGCTCGCTCACGTATAACGTACATGTTCGTGTGACTTCGGCATGGGTCTTCGGGTCATTTTTTTCTCAACTTCGGCTCGCTTTTTTGTTGCTGCGGCAGAGGATCTCAGTGCAAAGCAGAGAAACGTCTCGCTTCAGCACGCCGCGCGCAAACTTCGTGTTTGTTACACTCACACTAATGCAAGGCAAACTTGTGATGGTATGTGTGTGCCGACCACTGATTTAGAGATACTTGCTTTCTCCTTGCTACCCTTCTTGTGGAGAGGAATTACAAACTATTTTTCCCCATATGGGGAATTGTGAAGATTCTAAATATAAGGTAAACAATTAGAGTTGGGGCTTGCTTAAGGCCTTCGCGCAATATCTAAGCACGCATCCAGGAATTCCATCGGGACCAGGTGAATAGACGGTCTTAACACGTTGAAGATCAAGAATACAGACAGAATATTAAATCCGACTTGGATACTGTGTAAGAATAAGACTGTGAAGAATGAGGTAACGTAGACTATGTCGGCAAGGATAATTGGTGGATTTACACTTATTTTTAACAAAATTATAAAACTTTTTCGGGTTCTGAGAGAATTGGACTTAACAACTATTTAAATAGTTTTAGTAACGCAGAGAGTTTAGCACGGTAAAACTAGACCGAGCACTCAAGTATCTAGAGTAAATAGATTGATAACCGGTATCTATGTATTTCCTATAAAGTCTGGACTTTTTATTTCTAAGGTGCGTCAGCTCTTTACTGAACCAAGGTGGCTTGTTGGGGACTGACGGATAGCATAACGGAACACAAGAAAATATTTATAGTATCCATATTTTAAGATGAGTAGAGATCTTAAGTTCAGTGAAATCATGATGAGGTAATGGAAATAAGACATTCGATTTCTTTAATAGTCACCTTATTTGAAACTGACTGTAGAGCGAAAAGATGGTTTAAATACTCCGGGAATTCAGATGCAGGAGGAATGTACGAACAGGTAATATATATAAAACCAGGAAACGATAGGCTTACACATATAAATTAAAAATTACAGAATTCCTCAACAAGTACGTCTTCCGATGTGAGGGTAAAGTCCACGGCGATTAAGACTCCACCTCCTCGCTTGGATGGTCAATCATGCCTATAAATGGTGTGCAGGAAAAATTTCGAAGTTAAGGATCTTCGGTTTTAGCCAGGTCTCAGCAAAAAGAATAATGTGAGATGCAAAAGAGAGAATATGCAAGCCTCTGGCATTCTGATTAGAAAGAGTTAAGCTAGATTTAAGTTTTTTGAATACGGTGTAAGTATAAGTTAAATATTCACTGAAGGTGGCAGGTTATTTAAGGAAGGAGGAATTGGTGAGTCAATTGCAGACGATCCAGATTGCAATTGACCCAAATCTTTTTTAACTGTTTATCTTAACAATATTTGAGGATTTGTTGATGTCGACCGCAGCTGTGCGACCGTGCTGGAGCTCTGATGATTGCTCTCTAGCGGTTGCGTGGTGTTCTTCTTACCTACCAACAGTAGCTCATCTAATAGCTTAAGGCTACGCCGACGATATTAATCACACCCTTTAAGCCACCTTTAGTTTGGCACATAAACGTCCTCATCTCGTGTGCAACTCAATACAAGGGTCACAACAATATAGTATGTTATGGTCATCACTAGTTCGACCGGCACACTTGGTATGAGCCATTTTTTCACAAAGCCAACACGTCAGTTTTGACTGGTCAGCTCTGATAAATAGATGGCATTTTTTAATGGAGCAGACAAAGTATTCTGAATTTTTTTATTACGGGGAGAGCACAAACTATGCACGCTTAAGCTTTATATTAGGGGAACAAAGTTAAGAGATAGAATGAGAGTGTGCGGGCAAGCGGGAGCTTAATACAGTTAATGCATATACAGAAACAACAACTCAAAACAGCACTGTGGCTTCGATGGACAAAGAAAAGCAATAGAAATCACAGGAACAAAAAACTAAACAGTAAACTAAAAATTGTAAATTTATTTATTAAGATTGTACACAAGAATAGAATAGATTCACTTGCGAAACAAACGAAATAATTAGTCTAATCAACTAAGGGACCGAATATAACAAGTTTTGATTTAAAGCGACTAAAGCAAACCATGAAAACAAATAAAAATTAGGAGCGTAGAAAAAAACACGACCGTTCCTTTTTAAAGTTACAGATTTCTTTAGCATGTATATTTTAGAGATTCCTGGTCAGCGCAAGTTTGTGTCAGCAAAGTGCCATAACAGCTCTAACGCCCATAAGACCGCTGAAGCTGGCCACTTACTTTATTTGTGAAAAGGGAATTAAAAAAATATTTTCATCATTAATAGCAGACAAAAAACACCTCTTAATGAGGTGAAAGAATAGTGACGGCGCGATCAACTTACAAAAGTTATAATATCAAATTTGGTGGCAATAAATCATTTTACGTGACATTTTTAGTGACATTTAATTTCACAATGAGATCATTACCAAGTAAGTACTGTGAGGAGTTGAATAACTCCCCACAAATCCTAGAAGCAGCAACAACAGATGGCCGGCCGCTTACCAGCTACGCGGCGAATTCGCGTAGTAACGGCGCGGCGAGGAGTGGGTGGAGAAGAAGAGAGTTTGGAGACCAAGGATGGAAAATGAGAGAGTTTGGAGACAAAGGTGCGGAGAATGAAAGAGTGGAGACTTGGCGGGCAGAGCGAGAGTGCCGTGTGCAAAAGGGAATAACGGAACTCCACCGGACATTGGACTTTGCCGTGAACTTTGGACTGGAGGAAGAAGTACCACATCTCGGCAGCGGAGCGGCACACAGGCGTCCCACATGCACCAACGGGACGGCAGCATTATGCAGAACTTCGGTTGGAAACGGTGCGTAAAGGACAAGTGGGTCAAACAGGAGCCACGGACTTTGGATCCGTACTGGAGAGATTCAGCGGGCCGTGCGCAAAAGGGAAATGACGGTTCCCGGGGGCCCTATATAAGGCCGCAGAGTGCTGGCAGCTGGATCAGTCGATCCCTTAGGAGTCAAACCATCAAGATCAGTCAAGATATCAAAATGAACGGTCAGTCAACCAAGTAAACTACAAGGGAGCCAAAAAAAAGTCGAGTCGTCGAAAAGCAGCGCCATGGAAGCCTTCAAGGAGAAAGATCGGGATAGGAATACCAAGAATCTCAGAATTGAGACACAGGTAGCTGAGGTCTAGAGG